TTTGAAACATCACCACAATGAAACTTCTCATGCCAGCGTCATTTAACAACGATACCACGCGTGATGCTTTAATGGATGCAGATATGGACGCGGCTCTCCTGCAGATACTCCGGGAACTGTACGGCCCTGAAAATGTGGTGACCCTTGTGTTTCCCATGCCACAATATGACTTTTCAAAACTGACGGATGAACAACTCGTTGAGGTACGGTGGTTTATTCTCGACTTGGTGCGTGCACGGCTTGAGGAGTGTGATGTTCTCTCGGCAAGTAGTGTCGATGCAAGTGTGAGCAGTCATAGTGGTGTTTGTGAGGCTGTCATCACCAACCGTACCGAGACGGTCGTCTCGCATCCACCATTTAACGTACAGAGCGAGTACGAGGTGTTTGTGCCGTTGCGGTACAAATTTAATGCTTCATTGTGCCTTGATGGCATTGACTGGGCTGTGTTGGAGGAAATTATCAAAAACTACACGGAAGAAAACAAGCCTCGCCGTAAATCTGCATGCGACCGTAGTTGCATTATTGGCCTGGCGGTCCTGGCGGCGTTGGTACTCACTGCCCTCATTGCAGTGGTGGTGGTTCTCACGTCGAAACGGAGACGGCTGGCGGCAGTTGTGGCACCCGTGCACCCAAAGTTCAAAAGTACCCTCGACGAGGATGAGGAGGAAATAGAGACAACCAACCCGCTAGAAGTAAAAGACGAGCAACGTGCACGAGACATGTACTAGCATACATCCACGGGAGAAAAGCACACACTCTCTCTGTCTGTCTCTGTGTCTCTCTGACTCTCTCTTTTTTATTTGTTTGTTTGTTTCTTCTTTTCCGTCTCGCGGGTGTACGCGTAGAACCGAAAAAAAAAAATTGAAAAAAAAAAGGGTCATTACTACCAAATATATATATATTTATATATATATATATAATGTAAATCGTATAATGTATATTGTATTGTGATATATAAATATATAAATAAATATATTTATAGGCATGAATCCCATGGCAAAAGTAACTGCGGCAGCGAAGGGATAGCGGGGAGGGGAACAAGAAGAAGAAGAAGAAGAAGGTGGTGGTGGTGGTGGTGGTGGATTATTTCCCGGCTGTAACACACGGAGATGTGAGGTCTATTGACGAGTAGTGGGGTGTTGTTACTGTTGTTGTGGAACACCCACACCGTAGGAATAAATAATTACAAACAACCAAACAGAAAACCCTAAAAAAAAAAAAAAAAAAAAAAAAAGAGGAGGAGGAGGAGGGGGAGGGGGAGAAAGTTAGGATGAAGCGGAAAAGATGGTGGGATTTATGGATTTGTGCGTTAAAGTCTTCTTTTTCTTTTCTTGTTGTTGTGGTTGTCGTTATCTTCTTATTTTGTTTTCTTTAAACATATCATTCAATGCTCTTTTTTTTTTTCTTCCAAATTGAAATACCACGACCCTCTGCACATTACAAACAGACACAATAATCTGCGGTTCCTTGTTTGGCGCACACGTTCTTTGCTTTTTTGTTGTTTTTTTGTTTTTTTTTTTCTTTCTTTTAAACCGTTTCTGTCGTAACGCCGATCGTTCTTACAATTACTTCTCTCTTTTATGGAGATGCCTCCATTTTAATATATTTATTTATATATTTGTTTGTCTGTCTGTGTGTGTTGTTATTGCCGGGGTGAGCGATGGCGCTGAGGGGAAAGGGGGGGAATGTAAAGGGAGCGAGATTCCCCCCACCAACACATGTCCCCTTTCTTCCCTTCTCTTTCTTTTTTTTTTTTTTTTTTTTTGTTATTATTAAAGAAAAGTGCATGCATGCCGTGCAGGGAACCCTCTTCCTTTCTCTCTCTCTCCTGCTGGCTGCCTGGCTGGCTGGAGGGACATGTGCGGCAGGAAGAAAAAAAGGAAAAAAAAAAAAAAAAAAGAGCGGGTGGGAGGGGGGGCACAGACAAAACACATGCGATGATGATGATGATGATGAAAGCATCCACACAAATCCCGCACTCCTTTTTTTTTTTTTTTCCCACGTGATGTGCCACGCTCCGTTTCACAACACAGACACCCTATGCCCCCCCCCCCTCCCTTCATATATATATATATATATGTGGGCATTGTATATACATGAAAAATGGATGATTTTTTCTTGTATTTTTACATGTCATTTTTTGTTGTTTATTATTTTTGGCCCTCTCCCTTTTTTGTTGTTTTCTTTTCTTTTTGTTTCCTGTTCTGTATGCCCTGTGGTCGTCCATTTTGTACGACGTGCGTGGATGTCACAGAGAGAGAGAGAGAGAGAGAGAGAGAGAGCCATTCAGAGAAAATATAGAGAGAGAAGGAAAGGAGCGGGTGTATGTATTTATGTGTACGAGAATGCTACGGCGAACGG